TTCTCCAATTCCATAATTCCCCAAATTCCCAATTCGCCAGTTTCTCAATTTTCCAATTCCATAATTCCCCAATTCCATAACTCTCCAATACCATAATTTCTCAATTACATAAGTTCCTAATTCCATAATTCTCCAATTCCATAATTCCCCAAATTCCCAATTCACCAGTTTCTCAATTTTTCAATTCCATAATTCCCCAATTCCATAACTCTCCAGTACCATAATTTCTCAATTACATAATTTCCTAATTCCAAAATTCGCCAATTCCATAATTCCCCAATTTCCTATTTCCCCAAATTCCCAATTCGCCAGTTTCTCAATTTTCCAATTCCATAATTCCTCAATTCCATAACTGTCCAATACCATAATTTCTCAATTACATAATTTCCTAATTCCAAAATTCGCCAATTCCATAATTCCCCAATTTCCTATTTCCCCAAATTCCCAATTCGCCAGTTTCTCAATTTTTCAATTCCATAACTCTCCAATTCCATAACTCTCCAATACCATAATTTCTTAATTACATAATTTCCTAATTCCATAATTCCCCAATTCCCTATTTCCCCAAATTCCCAATTCGCCAGTTTCTCAATTTTCTAATTCCATAACTCTCCAATTCCATAACTCTCCAATACCATAATTTCTTAATTACATAATTTCCTAATTCCATAATTCTCCAATTCCATAATTCCCCAATTCCATAATTCCCCAATTCCATAATTCCCCAAATCCCAAATTTCCAATTACCAAAATTGCCCAAATCCTAAATTGCCAATTACAAAAATTCCCCAACACCCAAATTTTCAATTACCAAAATTCCCCATTCCTAACTTGCTAATTACCAAAATTCTCCAATTCCTAAGTTTCCAAATACCAAAACTCCCCGACTCCTAAATCCTCACGTACCCGTATTCTCCATTTCCTAACTCCCCGCCTTCTATGAAAATGAAATTTGTGTAGATTTCTATGGATGTGGACATTTGACGATTTTTTAATTTTCAAGATGGCGAATCAAATGTACTTGCAAGCTTCGTATATTAACAGATTCTAAGACTTTGAAGTCTTCAAATTTCTAAATTTGAAAATATACAAATTGAATTGTACAAGTCTCAGACTCTTGAGCATTAAATCTATAGATTTGTACATCGGTATTCAATATTCTTAAACCTCAACATGTCCCTAGATCCCAAAATCCATTATAATATTCTTAAAACCCAACTTAGGCAAACTCCAATATCCCTCGAAATCGAAAGACCTTTTTTCACACGTGATATCGAAGCGCGATCATGGGGGTCGTGCACCTCAGCTACCGAGCGGAAATAGAGCTTCCTCTAACTACGGCGATCTCGTTTTTTTCGTAGCAGCGTAGAACAACGTCCCTTTGCGTGTCGAAGGGCGAGCGACGTGTCTAAATCCCGACTTGTCTCCCTTCCTTCCTTTCTGTCGATGGTAATGCTTGTTGCATCCGTAGGTGCGACGCCTTCGAGGGCGCTATTTTTGTCGACGACCAACAGTTACTAGTAGTAGACACCCTCTTGCTAGCAGCCGGAGATCTTGGCCCGTGCCGCGATACCCTTCATTCCTGCACACGCATGCTCCTCGTCTCGTTAGACTCTGTCCTCGAACTTACATGATGAATGGTCCAATCAGAATAGTAGCGATAAAAAATGTTGGTTGACTTCAAACGACTTTTCATTTGAGCTACTCTGTAGATTTCTATTTTGTTGAGAAGTGGAGGGATTTTTAAGTTAGGGGTATATGGCAAGTTTTTATAGGTTTGCAAATAGTATTTGAAGTTTTTATGTTATTAGGAGGGGATTTTAATATTTCAGAGGGATAATTGTTGAAATTTTGATATGGTTTCATTTGTTTGTTATTAGTTTATGTTAATTATGGGTAATTTGTTGCTGAATAATGTTTAAAGTGGAAAGTGGAGTTTTATGTCTTTTGGGTGTATGTAAGAGAGGAGCTATTAATTGTGAATGTGTGGACTAAGTTGTTGGGATTATTTGTAGATCTATTAGAGATTGATACATTTTGTGAATTGCCAGTTTTCGAAATTTTTCGTTTTTAAATTTGTAAGTTTTCGAATATTGAAATCGTAGAATTCGTCCATTAATATTTGAATTCTTCAATTCCTAAATTTTCATATTTTTAGGTCTCAATTCCATAATTCTCCAATTCCATAATTCACCAATTCCATAATATCTGAATTCCATAATTCCCCAATCCCATAATTCCCCAATTCCATAACTCTCCAATTACATAACTCTCCAATTACATAATTATCCAATTCCATAATTTCCCAATTCCCTATTTCCCCAAATTCCCAATTCTCCAGTTTCTCAATTTTCCAATTCCATAATTCCCCAATTCCATAATTTCCCAATTCCATAACTCTCTAATGCCATAATTTCTCAATTACATAATTTCCTAATTCCATAATTCTCCAATTCCATAATTTCCCAATTCCGTATTTCCCCAAATTCCCAATTCTCCAGTTTCATAATTTTCCAATTCCATAATTCCCCAATTCCATAATTTCCCAATTCCATAATTCCCCAATTCCATAATTCCCCAATTCCATAACTCTCTAATGCCATAATTTCTCAATTACATAATTTCCTAATTCCATAATTCTCCAATTCCATAATTC